GTAAAATATTAATCATACAATGTAACACGCATAAAAACTTTGAAATTAATTCTTTCAGTAAAAAACTGTAATTCTTAATATTTATGGTTATCTATTAAATATAAACATATAATTCTTTTTTATTAGATATTTGCATGATAAATGAATAAAAGTTTAATGTGCATAATAATTGTTTTTTAATAATTTGCTGCTATAATTTGAATGTATTTTGTATGTACAGATCAACTTGTGAACAACTCCTGCTGCGCATCCTGTCGGTAAGTCAATTTAATTTGTTTTATTTTAATATTATTAAAAAAATAAATTAATGATGTAGGATATTTTGTATATTACTATCTTTATTACAAGGTAAAAATAATGTCAGCAATTAAATAATATCAATGATAAGAATAGGACAAGAAAATTGATATATTTGTAAAAATTATTTAAGTTAAGTTTAAAAGAACTCTTGAATTTACCGGAATTATGATGTTTGAATAGTTATTGATAAATTTATATAAATAAGAGAAATATTGTGACCATAGATTGTTAAAGAACATTTACAATTATCACGGTTATGCTAGATATGAAAGATAGGCATGTATATAGCATAATTAGTAACATTTTATCATACTGTAAATATTCTTTAATAATCAATAGTCATAAAAATTTATTTATTTATTTAATTTATATAAGTTTATCAACAGATATACAAACATTATAATTCCGGCAAATTTATAAGTTTTTTAAAATTTAATTTAAATAATTTTTACAAATATGTATATATTTTGTCAATTCTTTTATTCTAACCGCTGAAATTATCTGATTGCTGTGGCATTATTTTTACTTTATAACAAAGACTGTAACTTAAAATAAATATCTTAAAGATTGATATAATTAACGAAATATTACCATCCGGGAAATTCTATTCGAGAAAAAAGTCGTGAATCTATTTTCGCATATATCACATGACCGAACAAAAAATTGCACATTACCTTAGAGCCTAGCGCGGCTTCTCTCGCTAAAAGAACTGCCAATCCTCTGACCCTTCTGCCGGCACCTACGCTTCTTCTCGCTTCCGACGTAGATTTGGCTTCTGGTCGTGGATGATCGTGTTGACCTTTAGCTTGGAAAAAAATCGCGTGTTCCGTATGCCTCCAAAAATGTGTTACTGGGTAACCACAATGTCCGCGGCATGATAGTATTTCTAAGCGACCGGTACACTGTCTATTGGGACATGGTTTGCCCTGTTGTTTCTTTCTCGCCTGCGAACAACATTATTAGATATATTATTGAAAGAATTTTTCAGATTTCACTAGATTGCCATTGAATAACTGAATTATCTTAAAAATTAATTTTTAATTAAAACAGTTTGAAAATAATTCTGATTTAAAAAAAAATCAGCTCAGCTGCAATTAATTATAATACTGTTTCATCGATATATAAAATGTTGTATATATAGATACAGCGCTGATCGTGTTTCTCTACATTTTTTGTAGGTACAAACATTTGATATTATTAAACGAATTAAATTTACATCAAATAAGGATCCAAAAAGATCCTCTTTTTGGATTTTGTACAACCACTTTGTATTATTCTTAAATTGCATGTAATGATTGAATTAAATCGAATCTATCAAAATCGGTAATCGTTATGATTGCGCAACAGAAATGTCAACGAATACATGCGCAAGTGCAATTAACATTTATTATCGCGTTGAGATTTATATTTATCACTCCGTTATGCTCACCTTATCGCAGATCGCCGGTCGGAGGTGAACCCTTCCTCCGCCGGGCAGTACGCACTCTTGAGAGCATACCAAAACGCCCAGGCAACTCTTCTTGAGGATGCTCACGTTATGATTGTTCGTATTCCTCATTGCCCAACCGGAGGCGTGTCTTCTTGCTTCCTCGCAATCTGGCCCGTAGACTCTCCTCACGTGTCCGTCCGCCCATTCGCACCAAGGATCATATTCCACTACCTGAAGCAAAATTCTATCTTTTTATCGTTCCTCGCGATTTCATTGAATGTTTCATTCACTGCAAAAAAAGTTATCTAGCATGAAACATTTTTATCTTGACAAACGCCGCGAAGTATTGTAAAAGGACTTACCCTCGGAACGTTCGAATCGTTTATGTCCCATTCCTGATGAGGATGTTGCTGTTGCTGATTGCCGGCGACAGTCGCTGACATCGTCGGCGATCCCACGCGACTCCTGTAAAGAGAGTAGATTTATATTTCGACATATCTTGCATTTTTTTCAAACTTTTAAGTTCGCATTCGAAATTATTTCAACAAATCAATATCCGCGTTCCGCGAATCTGTCGCGACCTTGAGATTCTATAATCGCAATTGTTCTTCTCGAATTGAGGGCTAATTTAATATTATGCAATTGCGGTCGTGTCATGAACCCGGCAGCTACGAGATAAAGTCCCGATTTATGGTACATACTTGGCCGTACTTCGCGCGATACTTATGGTAGTTCGTGGGTGGTACGGCGAGACATGGTGCACACGCGTTTACAAATATATAGCGTCTTTCCGGAATTCTTATATCCGCGTATTGCGATCGGATCGAGGTCGGAAGATTGATCTTCGATAGCGAGGTAACAAAACTACTCAAGAAATTTGTCAATGCGTATCATGATCGAATTGTACTTTTATTTTTTACAATTGAACATTTGTGTATTCAATGCGCAATAAAATAATAGGTAAATTATTGAACTTGTATTTGATAATAATAATTACTTTTAGTCGTACAAACTATATTAATTTTTATGTTAGCGTTATACCAGAATTCAACATCGCAAAAATATATGAAAAAAATTATATTCAAAGCGCCAGCATTCGATTAATTTGTCCTCATTATGCATAATGAAAAAAAAAAACGAATATATGGCTAATATTTCGCGCTAGTTGGTCTCTAATATATATTTGCTCAAGTCTTAAACGGTACAAGAATTACTCGTACATAAATTCTCTTATAAGTATATCTTTTCACGTCCGCTCATAAATCAGCCTCTGTCTTTTGTTAACATTAGACTCGACGCGTATAGTCTCTGTGGTAGCATTATAATATGCGAGGACTTCTCGCTAACGAGTTAGTCGAACAATCTTAAAATCGTGTATCTCATTTTAGATAGATTTTTTAAATTCTATTCTTTAAAGAAAGTTTGCGAATGCGTAACACATTATTAATGAACAATTGAAAAATTTTACAAGTAAAAGGAATGACATGTAGTAAAGTCAAATAATGTTTGTCATTAGAATTATTTACCACAATTTAAAATATCATTAAAAACTGCTACGAAATAATGTGCCACCTCCGAATAATAGAAAAGTGGACACGGCACGCTCGACTTCGTCGATTCCATTAATTTAGCCATTGCTGATAATGCAGGCGGATTTTATTTGCTCGGATTTACTTGTCGAGGACGGCCTTTCGAAAGACTTGCCTCCTACAAGACTTGTAGAAGTACAGGTTACGCGTTAGGTGCGTGCAAACATCGTTTCCGTCAGTTTTATCGAGTCGCGCTCGTAGTTGGACGTTTACGATCGTGGAACACCTACTCGAGAACGCTTCATCGCCCGGAGGTCTCGTCCTCAACGACGCGGACCACCTCGTGAACCTTTTTCATGCTGACATGATCACTGTCGAGCAGCCGCGGTCCCAATTGCCGCGATTACGGCGACCGCCAATTGCATAAAGCACATTTACCGCACCCTTCGATTCGATGTTTGGACTTTTATCGTCTGAGATTCTTCGTCTAAATTTTCAACGGTGGTCGTTTTCATTTTTCCTTGGTACTGTAAAGGCAATCGGCGAAATTTTTGCTAAATTTATATAAATATTACTTTATTTTATTCGTATCAATTGTACAAAGTCATTTAATAAATTTGAAGTTGATTTTCTGAAATAATTATAGGAAAAATAAATTTACATCTGCGGTATGGATATATCGTTTCTCTAGGCCAAATATTAAATGATAATTCTATCATTCTTTTTCGATAATTCGTTATACATAACGAGAAAGAGGAGATACGCGAGATGTGTGTTTACTATACATTACGTCAATGCTTCTCTTTTTCTCTTTTCTCCATGGAATCGGCTAAGATAGAATTGAGCTCGGCCGACACGGGGGAGGACGAGGACAGTACTAACAGAGAAAAGAGTCAGCTTAGGTGAATGATTGCCCGGATCGGTGATAAAGTCATCGCCTTTAGCACCGAGTAAGATGATACATCGGCGGACGATGCTGTGCTGAGATTGTCGGAGTCGGAGACATACACATACACGTATGCATCCCGGAACATCGTGATTCGTGAGTGAAAGAAATAAAAAAGAAGTAAGAGAGAGAAAGAAAATATGTGTGTGTATGCGTGTGTCTCTTTCTCGGTGATATGGGTGCGTTCAGAATTTCAGATATTAAGATAGATACGCGCCGCGACGAGGCCACTAAAATATCGTGAAGGGTACACTGTGAAAAGGAAGAAATTTCTCGCTTTCTCCTCGTCCTTTTCTATTTCCTTGCTCGTTTCTCTTTCTCGCTTCGTTACTCTCTTCATTTCTCTCTCATTTTCTTCCTTCCTTTCGTACGTTCGTTACTATCCCCGTATTTGTACCCGTTCTTGTTCCTTGCTGAGCTTGGATCCTTTCGCGAGATTAGCTCGCGAGGTAATCTCACGTTTCTAAACAAGTTAATTCCCTGAGCTTTTGATTCGAACTATCGTTCGTTTGGATTATTGGTTCGGGTATTGATAGCTTAAGAAATCACATCGCGTTAACAACGTTTATCTTTCTTTCCGTTGAAATCACAATTCTACATGTCATTCAACATTCGTGCGCTGTCTGTTCTTTCACAAATCATTAGTCACTTTTACTCGCGATTAATGCATAATCGCTCGATTTAAAAATATTTTTATTAATTAGTAATTTAAAAAAATAAATTTAAAAATTGTAAATTTAAAACTAATTGTCTTAATTAGTGAAACTGATTATATATTAATTATTATGTTCAGTTGATTTTACTTATATCTATCTGTCTGATATCAATTTTTGCGATATCTGTATGTTTGCGAACGCAATGTCTCCACGCGTTTTCATCTTGAATAACAGAATGGAGCAGCTGAAGGATAGTGCAAAAAGCTTGGCAAAACGCGTTGAGGCTCAATGAAACGCGATAGAACGAAAGAAAACCGGTCGGGCTGGATTTTTGTAAATCCACTAACTTTTTGTCGATTCCATGCGTCGCTCTGAGAGCACATCCAGCAGATTCACAGTGATTCTGAGAGAGAAGGCGAATAATCGGATAACAAGAAAAGAAAGAACACAAATAAGTTTAACGCGTCAAATTTAGAAAAGCACGTGGGTCGCTTTATGACAGCGCGACATTTGTTCGCAATTAGTGCTGCATAATATTACGATATATTTGAATTCATAATAGTAATAGTAAATGCAGAAATTTTGGAAAACATTACGCGAATTTATTATAATAAAATTACGATTATTTAACAAAATAACAAACAAAATATGAGAAGATGATATGAAAAGACGTAGCAACAAAACGTGAAAATATTTCTTTCGGGAGTAATTCAAAGTCCGAAATATCATTTTATCCCTTCCTGCATAATATTGCTGAATTAATACCGAGTAAACTGTCAGCTTCCATTCTGCTGCCGCGACATAAAAGGATTCACGAGGGGGAAAGGGCTCGCGAAGGGAACCGCGGGTTCAAAGGGGTTTCTCGGAGCGGCGGACAAGGAAAGAGCGTTCTCGAGATCCGAGATAAAGAGGAATCGTCTTACCCGCGGACATTCGTTTAATCTGTCTTCGAGGTGTTGGGCTGTGATCAATGGCGAGGCGGCAGTACATCCTTAATCGGGTTTTCACAAACCGGCGAGACGGCGTCTCGCTCTCTTCTTCCCCTCCCACCCTTTCTGATTTGGAATCTTCAACTATTCTTTTACCCTACCTAATTGAACGACTAAAAGGATCGTAAAGTCTATCTTTGACAACTCAATTTAAAAAGAAATATCATATACTTTATCTTATTGTAACAGGTTTATGCATGCGAATTTGTATATTAATATTATCGTGGCAACAAAAGATCATATTTAATTAAAACTGCGAATAAGATTAATTGTTTCTCTAGAAATTGCTCTAGAAATAAGCTTAATTGTTTCTCTAGAAATATTTTATTCGATTTTTATTTTTTGCGCATTTATATTGCTCTTTAATCTTTGACTGAAATTTTTTTACGAATCTTTTTGATTGTTTTTTTTTCCGAGGATATGAATTATTTAACACGACAGAAAATATCAATATAATGCTGGAAATAGAATTTAGCGAATTTTCCCAAAATTGTATCGAAGGAGCGACAACTCTCGCGTACAAATGGTCGTGTATAACTCGTTGAAGCGCGCATGTGTAAACGTTTCTAGAACACCTAGCGTCCAACCAGACCTCGATAACGCCCACACACCAATGGGAGACCCGCAGAACGCCCATTGATTAGATACCAGCTGAATTTCTCTCAGCACCCAAAGAAAGAGAAATCGATGCCGAGCACAAAAATGAGTAATTTTTAATGTTTATTGAACTAACTGCTAAATCTTATCTCTAGGATTTAGTTTTAATATGATACAAAAAGGAAAAGAATTTATTACAACTGAAGTGTAGTGTTTTGAAGATTCTCAGAAAGTAGTCAAAATTACTTATACCAAATGTATCCGCGTTTATTTTTTCTGCATACATAATATCTATAAAATAAAAATTAAAAGAATAAATAAGAAGTAAAACGGTCAAAGCTAGGTGTTCGTGCGTGTGTATTATAAAAACAATTTAAAAAATATTGACGTTTCGACTTGAATTTGATCTTCAGAATTCCGCTTACAATTTAATACATAGATTAAAATTTACAAAAACGCTTTCGGTCTAATATAACAAATTTCATTTATCATTGCCTATGTGTTGATAATTGCTCGCCATTTTTTAAATTTCGAGTTGCATGATGTTAAGGATGAGGATGCCAACATAATTAATAATTGGCGTGTTGACATCTTCATCCTTAACATTATGCAACTCGAAATTAAAATAATAGCGAGCGATTATTAACACATAGGCAATGATAAATGAAATTTGTTATATTAGTCCGAAAGCGTTCCTGTAAATTTTAATCTATGTATTAAATTGTAAGCGGAATTCTGAAGAAGATCGAATTCAGATCGAAACGTCAATGTATTGAAATTGTTTTTATGATACACACGCACGAACACTTACCTTTGGCCGTTTTGCTTCTTATTTATTCCTTTGATTTTTATTTTATATTGGCCTTGAATATAATTTTATTATAAAATAAAACTATGTGCTACTGTTTAGTCTTTGAAAAAAGTTGTAGAAACTTTTGTCTTAAGAAATATGTTTAAAATTTGCGGGAAAAAATAACATGCGCTCATGCTTAATATTTCTTCTAAATTAAATAAAAAATACTATTGTTATATTTTGGTTATCACTACTTTTTGATAGTTTTATGATTTTTTGACATAATATATATAATAAAATCACAAGAAATAAGCATCATTATTGAGCAACTCACAAACGATTTTAGCTAGCTTTTAAAAGATCTAAAAATACTGTGATAAATATTAATTAATATATAAGAATGACTCTCAATAATCTTAATAAAATCTGCACTGTGTAATTGAAGCAAAATCCTAATTTTTAAAGATTTAAATTGATCGAGATATCTTTCGATATTGATCGAGGTTTCTCTCTTATTTAGTTAAAGAACTATATGTTTGATGAATGAATCGAGCGATCGCGAATACTTACAGAACTACCATAGTCGATACTGTTTCGTGATTGATGTCTCGGTGCTTTGATAGCTAGTCACAGTGGATGATTCGCGATCACTATGAGTGTTTTCGCGGCGATTTATCACAATCACGAAACGCGCCACTTCCAATCTACACTTCACTACGATCTAGGAAGTTTCTTAGAGTGAATCAAAATTTCCAAACATCTCGATCACCGTTGCGACGTCATGGTAAATAATTCGTGTTTCTAGAATGTATCATCTTAATAGCAGGCAAATTTATGAAGGTCAGATTCATATTGCCGTTTGATGAAATTCCAAGGAGTATTTTAACTTTCAGTGAAATTTTGAATAAGAAGCGAATAAATTGTAGAGTTGCAAATTTTCACAGACGTCTGCGATATGTTGATCGATTTTGACGTGTATACTTCGGAACAAACAGATGCGTGCCGATACGTGCGGTACGACGTCACTGCGTGAACTGAGGCCACCACGATGCAAACTAGCTGGTCGCCAGGCACGTTGTGCTCAGCAGATCACGAACGCACCGTGGTTGCCACCATATGTCGGCAGGATCCGCCTATGGGAGTGGCCGTGGCTAACCAATCGCTGGCTGCTTTTGAGGGTGCCTAATTGACGGTAGCAACCCCTCTCGACCCAGAGGAGGAATCGATCACTGAAGGTTCCTCCCTGTGGCAACGAGATTTCTCCAAAACTGCCGCGGTCCAAGGTGCTCTGATCCTATATATCGCGATTACCGACAATTTTAGAGTATTTTTTAAATTCGACATCTATTTCTTTTATACTTCTAATTCGGAAACGCGAAGAAAATAACAACACACATTTGCAAATAGACTTATTTTTAGACAGTGATAAAATCGATAAATTTAATGGAAAATTTTATGCATTAAAATTTTTTTTTGTAATTGTACGCGCGTATAAGAGTAAAATGTGAAGATGATGCAACTAATAATAATGAAAATTGAATGTATTTGCCGTTTACGATTATTATTGGAATTATTTAACTATTCTAAAATTATTCAAGCTATCTTGAAATTTTAATATTCCATCTTGGTATTTTAATGTTTCGTCAAGCAACTACTTATTATTCGAAATTATGATATCGTTTATTGTGAAAGACTTTGGCGTTAATTGATTAATTGTGTGGTGATGGTCTGAGTTCGTAATCAGCTGGCAAGAGGGTGTCCCTCGCAGGAACCTCCTACTTCCTACCTTCTCTATCCCTTTACCTCCCCCAACCCCAGGTACCCGCATCCAAGACAACGGCCCGTTACGCTTCGATCGAACTCGAACCCACGACGCAAACATATCTGCCGAGGTAAACGCGTCCTCGGAATTGTGAAGTTGCGATCTCAACCCAGAAAGAGGATATAGAACAGACAACGCCTGTCGCGGATGTATCGTCGCAACTTTTCGAAAACTAGAATCGCCCGTTTCGACGTTCTCTATTCTCTTTATACGCATCGTGAACGCAATCTGCAATCCTTGCTCTTTGTTTTTGAAAGCTTTCTGACGATACAGGCGTGTCACGTTACATTTAAAATCTTCGATTCACGCTAGAAAGCGTAAAACGAGTTTTCTGAGACTCTATACTCGATTCAAAATATTTCCGATTAAATTTTAACATAGTTCACGATAATGTAAATTTTTCTGTATTTGTATGAAATGAAGGTTTATCGTGTCTAACAATCCATTTCCGCGTTTTACTCGCACGTGCGATTAATGTGCATAGTCCGACACCTGTGTAGCAACATCTCTAGCGTTACTTCCTACCACGTGTACACAGGTGCAACTTTCAGAATAATATTATATCGTCTAGAAAGCAATTTTTCGGCGTTTTCATCTTGAAATAACTGTAATTTATAACACTATTTTCTCATACTTTTTTAAAGGTGCTTAATTGTGGCGTTAAGGCTAATTTCTGTAAGTTGAAATGTCGATGGAAGCGTTTTATTCCGGATGATGTCTCTCTCTCTCTCTCTCTCCCTCCTCTCTCACTCCCCCATATCCTCTGTAGAGCCATTAAACATGGAAGGAGCATCGCGCGGGGAGGAGAGACAGAGGGGTAACGGCGGGGTTAGGGAAAGGGAGACACAGTTCGAGGCTGTTTAAATACAGAGGGTGTGCAATCAGGAGTGTTTGCTGCCTCGCGAGTGAGTGAGCGAGCGAGCGAGCGAACGAACGACTGAGCGGATCAAAGGATAAACGTTGATGGGTTGGGGTAGCTGATAGCGAGCTGATTTGATTGTCGGCCTCCGCTATTGTCCCCGAAACTGGCCTATTGTACGCCTCCGTGACAGTACACTCTGGTTACTTGCACACAGGTACCGGGCATGTACCGGCGAGCGCGTTCCTGTGCATGACACTATCTCTCCGGCGCGACGTCGCGCTCCGTCGTTTCTACGTAATAAACGCGCCGCGAGATTGCATGATGCGACCGTTTTCTCTTTCTCTCTTTCTTCCTCTCTCTCTCTTTTATCTCTCGAGACAATTATTGTGAATTATTGTGAAAGAAAGGAAAGATCGCGTCCATTAGAATTTTTATGAGTTTTTTCTGACGATTCATTAATTCGCCCTGTCGCTTGGTGGAATTTTTTTTATCATGTTAAAGAAAAACGAATTTCTGATTTTTTTAAATACTTTGTAAGATACAATCAAATTTAATTGCAGTTGAAGTCAACCATTATTTTTCTATTCTTCTTTTTTCAATTTTGCTCATTTTTCACGATGACTGACAATTTCACAGACAGTTGCGAAGTGACTGTGTATCGTGGTGTTCGAGAAGGACAAATTTTCGTGCTTATCCGCGCATCTGCCTCGCATTTGCATACAATGCTAGTCGCGTGCCTCAGCCAGCAACGTGTAGGAGGAGACTATCCCCTCTCTCAGGCTTTTAAATATTCCGTCACCTGTCAACTGTGTGTACGCGTCCTTAAACATAATGTTCACTTAACAGTTTCTGATTTTTCAGCCGATTTTTCAGTTATACGAATATGAAATGATTAAACGACTCATTTGTCTTATTTCCACGGCCATTACAATATGAAACGGTATAATTTTTTTCCACATTAAAAAAGTACAACTTTTTTTTTATTTTTGAAACTCGCATATCTTTGATGCAATTTCATTTACATTTCTGACAGTCGCTCTTTTCAGCAACTCTTACCTGGTTGAAAGCCAGATGATCAGAACATAACGTCGGTAACCCGCTCACGTCTCCGGGCTCGTGCCGGCTGCTTCCGGTTTTTCAAAGCGATGCTGCCTTCTGGCCCCGAGATCTGATCTCATGTGAAGTCCATAATTCATTCAGTACGAGTCAATCTTCGGGTTGCTTTGTAAATTGTTTGGGGTAACGAACTTACATTTTCACTACGCACGGACAAATTTATACTTTTTATTTTGTTATCGCACTTTATTAAGATTAATTTACGATAAATATTGAGAAATCAAATCATTAGAAGAGAATACTAGTGCATGTTCATTTACTTTGCATTCTGATTTTTTCTTGAACGGCGATTTCCGTCGGCGGAAGTTATGAAAGCATTACAGGCTTTATAGTGTGCCCCCGAAAAAAATTGATATCTATTGTCCCTACGTTCAACCGATGTCACCCCGGAAAACGCGCCTTTTTAAATCGAGAAAAAAACCATCCCTCTCTAGTGTCCCTAGGGCATCGCGACATATGCTTCTGTGCGACCCATGGCGATGAGTTTTCGTAATCGCCGGCCAATCATCTTTTATTTCAACAGGAAACGCGTGCGCGAGAGAGTTGACTTCTTACATCTCTCCATGTCGTTTAAAAAAAATAAACTCGAGAAAATATTCTGGATTGCGATCTCGTATTTGATATTTCTCATTAAAGATACGACATGATATTAGGAGAGATAAAAAGAGTTCATCATTGTTTCATATTAATTTTTATAAAATCGCCGCGATATATTGAGAAAAAAATTTTTATAGAAATCCCGAATGATATACAAAAATGTTTTTCATAATTATTTCTGCTCTCATTTAATTACGTGATTGATATTAACAAGTTTGTGGTTCACACGGAGGCATATCTGCGCCCCTTATCATAATGTCTCTGTTCTCCCACACTCATTACACTGTATTAAAAATCTTATCTGTCAGATATCGATAGGAAAATAGTTTTGGCGATTAGTATTGAGATCAATATTTCCTAACAATTGAGAAAACGAGGATGCTCTTTCGTTGAATAATGTATCATATCTTTAGTAGGAAATATTAAACGTGGAATCGCTGTCTGGAATATTTTCTTGAGTTTGTTTTTTGGGCGACATGGAGAGATGTAGGAAGTTTTAAGATTTAAGTATCACGTGTTGGTTTCCCTTTGGTCGAAGGACTCCCGGCTTCTCATTGTGTGCCAATTGAGCCTCGTTTAAGCAGGGGGTGGTAGGCTAAATTGATTTAAATTGGTCTCGAACAGCGTGCCCGCTCTCGCGGAGAACGGCAAGAAAGTCAGGAAAAAATGTTTCGTTCCTATCGCCAAGTGGAATCTTTCTACGATACGGGAGCACACAATTTATACACTTCTTACCTGTCTCTTCTCGTAAGTTAGCCATTATACGTTTTTTGGATGAATTTTGGTATTACCGAGTTCTATTATGGCGCCCGTATACATTCAGCTGCGAATTCACCGATAGGCGTGCGCGCGTTGTGTCACGTATGAGTCTATTTATAAGTCAGCTATCGTACGTAGGATCTTTGACTTCTCAATTTCGATCGTATTTTTTTCGTTTCCTTTCTCCCTTAAATTTATTTCTTAAATAGCGAGACCGAGATACCTCTAGATTTCTAAATACACATCACCGCGATATGATTGAGCGGTTTTCCGAAACATATTTTATTACATTCAATTTAAGGAAAATCAAAATTTGTTTCTTTCAGCATTTATTAAACAATTGTAGAGAAAAAAGATTGGAAAGGATAGAATATATCAAGAAAAAACATGTTACATTTATAATATTTGCAATTTAATATTAATTTGTGCTCGAAAATTTCGATAAAATAGTTTCAATGAAGATATTGTTTTATTAAAATAAAATAATGTTATTATTATTACGCTTGATTGAAAATATCTTTCAGTCGCGCTTACGAAAAACATTAACCTTTAGCCAAAGCGTCGTCTCTTCCGTCGTTTTATTCATATGCACGCGGGCATTATAGCGCCAATGGTTTGCGCATAAATTAAAACGTTTATTCGACCCTTTGAGTACGACGCCCTGCGGAGAAGATCCTCTGCAACGGAAGCTGGACACGCGTGGCTGATATAAATTTTAGAATTTTTAAAAATCACCCCTTTTTGCATGAAAGGCTAACTTGCAGCTCGATTTAATATCGCAGTTCGCATTATTAAATAAGCGCTGCAGGACCAGCTAGAATTTTTGCTCGATAATATGAGACTCGAATCGCATCTCCGAAGTCTCGGTGCTTCTTCTATTTGTACTTCGTAAA